TTTGTGCTTTGTGGARACTAAATGCCTAAATCGGAACAGCAAAGGAGACTTTGATCAGGAGGACAATATACACAAAGAAGGAAGTCATGAGTACATGGCTGGCAATACAAATTCTGTTTTCAGCTTCTGATCTCCCTTCCCACATGAAAGATGYCAGCTGAGCTATTGTAATGGCACTTAAAATAGCACAGCTAAGGGGCACTATGACAAGGGTTACTCACACATGAAAAAAAAAAAAGAGTTCTTTCTCTGACCACCCAGACTACTTCAGTTCTTTAGAGACATGATGCTTTACGTCATTTCTGAGGCTCCAAAATAACTTTTTGGGGAAGCAATGTGTGTGGAAAAGGGCAGGGGAGAACGAGGCTGTCCCATGCGTCTGAGATTGTGAAAGTTGTGATGATATAACAATGGCATTAAATTTATAGTAAGTAATATTTCTAGTGAACTGTTCAAAGAAAATACAAGTCAGGTATTCTGGCTTAATARTAAGTTGAAATTTCAAGAGCAAGTTAGAAGCTATGAAGCAAAGTTGAGTCAATCTATTTTTCACTACCAGTTGATATTTGTTTTGGTTTCAMGCCCGTTAGCACAGCACAGGTATCTCCTTACATTGCTTTTGTTATTACAGTTCTCTGTGGTGATAGCAGGATCTCAGGCAGAAGTGGCACATGACACTCTGAGTTCTCAAGAGAAAGATTTAGGCAAACTTAAATGGTGCTCAGAAGCCTTTATTTTGGTTTTGGCTTTGCAGAACACCTTTTTTCCCATACCTAAAGTGTATGCCATCATGTACATACAGCCCTGTCTGGGGAAGAAGAACTTGAAGATTTGAGAAAAACACAGTAAGTTTCTAATGTGAGGTTCATTGCACTAGAAGATAATGTAAAAATACCTGCAGCCCTCTCAAAACTTCTCTTTATGGAATTATTAACATGCATAATGGTTTAAAACTACGTTTTTCAGGAGACACTACRTGCAGTAGACCTTTTCATTACAGATTCTATATAGGATATATAGTATTACAAAYGAGAGGCTTTCCACATTCTTCTGCCTACAGCTTTTTCCAGAAATGCATGTCTTATTCAATCAATGTATTTATTCATTCTCCAATCAAATACTTACTAAGTCATTATATACTTATTGTATATTTAAATATTTGTATATTATTAAGTAGGTTCAAATAATATACTTAATTTTTCTTCAATCAAAGAAATGTCACCTGCTTGACCTCGATTTTTATTTCATTTAAACCAATTGTATCTCTTCATCCTTTGCAACTAGCAATTAGTGGGTAGTATTTGTTCATCTTGACACTGATGGAAATTCTAGGAAGCCACTTTGCTTCTCAAAAATATCTGCCATCTTGTGAGCTCAACAAACATTTTTCCATTGAAATTGAAGGTGAACTAACATGGGAAAGGTCAGAATGAAATGAATAGAACAGGTATTTTTTCAAACACATGCTGGATTTTAGTTTTTGTAACTATGTTTTTGTATGAAATAGAAATGAATGCCTTCAGTGTAATCCACAAACTGTGCATCTGTGGCTGGTTACATCAGGAAAACCTCTGTGGCAAGTTCTACCAGAGTCATAAATTCACACTACATCCTTAAGCATCACAGGGACAAAGAATGCCCTCAAGGAGTGAGCTACAAGACCTGCAGGCAAACTGTGAACCTTGGTAACCATGAAAAACAGAATTGCTGCAGGGAGTTCATCTGGCTGAGATAAACATCAATAACCTGCCTTAAGGGAAAGAAACTCCAAGCAAGACAGCTTCCAAATGTCACAACAGCTGCCTCAGATTTCTGAGGATAAAGCTGATGAGGGAATCACCTTTGTAAAGGTGAAGAATGAAAGACACAAGGCTATGGGATCAGTCTTGTAGCATGATGTTTAACAGCTGTGACAGCAGAAATCTTCACAGGATGTCACACACCTTTTTCCATATAAAGTAACAACTTCAATAGTATCTACAGCAAATCTGTGTAAACAGAAGAGACAGTTACTTCCTTTAGGATTCAAACACAAACAAAACCCAACAAAACCAAAGAAAAATGAGCATACCTTGACTTCCAGGTGAATTTTCTTTCCTTCCAGTGCTTGYGATCTCCAGTATGGCAAATGTGTAGGTTGTCAAATACCTACAGCAACCACTAGCACCCATGAATGTAGCCTGATGTCTTCAAATGCATTTCTGGCGTGATTTCAGTGAGTTATATTTTTGAGGAATTTTTGTGTCATTATTCAGAAAGAATTTATGAAAAATGCTGAATTTCTACCCTAAGCAGAAATACTTGTTTCACAAATGTTAGTTTCATAAATTATAGCACGTACTCCAGAATGCAAACATATTGAAGAGGATATATTATATTCCAATGTTAAATCAGGGACACAACCTATTGTGAAGGCTGTGTTATAACCTACATCCATTTAACTGAATGAAGAGGTAGGTCTACCTGTACTATATAGTCCTGCTCTTTTACATTTCAAATTGACAGAGTCTGTTTAGGTTTTGGCACTTTCTATACAGTACAGTCATATCTGTATCTAAATGTTTTATGTGCTCAAGATGTAGTTTCTATTTCCTTTAGCTGCCCRAAATTATATTCAATTGCCTCATTGCAGACAATACATCTCTTACCAAATATTTTTGCACTGTCACAGCTCCAAACCATCTCRATGTAAGCAAGTACATAACACTCTAGCAAAACCTGCCTCCAACAGGTTGCAGTCYGACTGTGAAACCAGCCTCTCAAATTTTACTCTGGTGTAGCAATTGTACCACAGGACTGATTAACTCTTAGTGGTAACCAGGCAAAACAATAGTCTCTTGGTAAATTRACCCTGAAGCCATGTTAGTAACATCTTATTTTAAAGCACTTTTTACTATCTCTACAGCTGAAGAAAGACAATTATATTGAAAATATGGTAAGAGTCATAAGAAATCCATACTATACCGTATTCCAAGTATTTGACAATAACTGATATTTTTAGAACATTTGTGCCCATAAGAACCGTCATAAGCACTGAAAGATTTTCTCCAGTGTAATTTTATTAGGGATTCCTGCCATCATATCAACATACAAAACAATCAGGATGTTGACATATAGAAATGTGAAATTCACTGTACAAAGATAAGGCTCAAGTTACAGGTATATTTTCCCCTTACACTCCATGAAATAAAACCATTTTTAATTCTTCCCAGAGTTGTGTTTATAAATGTTAGACAAATCACAAAATAGATTTCAAGTACATAACATTTTACAATATAATCCAAGCACAGACAGAAATACACAATACTGTACCTATAGACACTCCATAACCCAAGTCCATCATCTTTACTAGTAAAAAGCTGTTGCTCTCTCTGAACGTGCCCAGCTCTATCCTTCTGTGTATGACATGGTCCTGGCCTTTAAGTTAGAAGACTCTCATCACTTTTAGTTAAATTACTTTGATAGAACAGAGAATATAAGAAAGGAAGGGGAGAATTTTAAAAGGCCAGGCCYGAATGTATGCACATGGTTAGTAAATGCAAGTACATGTGCATACACACTTGCATTTAACCCTACATAAAACTTCACTGCACTGCACAATTTTTGAGATTATGTTCTCATGCAACTGAGCTATTTTCTGATAAGAGTTAAATCAAGCATTGCAATAGTCCTACTTCTGGGGTGCTGTAATTCACAGGGACAAGACTATAGTATGTAACTTCCTTTTTGAGTCATTATCAGAATTCATAGGAGGTTGTATGGAACCATGTCTTCACAGTCCAGCAGGATGTCAGCTCTCACAGCCCTCACCACTGAAAACAGCTTTTCTGACACCTTTGTTTAGCAACAATATACATGAATAATTTCCTGTTAAGACCAAATGTCTACATTRGTTCACTCTTCATTTCTATGAGGCTGAATGATTATTACCTCATGGGAAAGGATCATTTAGCTGCAAGTAGCACAGGAAGAAAGAGACACCAAATAACTAATCATTAATGATTTTTCTGGGGAACAGGTTAGCAAAGACAAAGAAAGACAATAAAAACCACAAGTGTTTAATTTAGTCTTTTGTTGGAGGGGAGATAATAGCAATCCAAAAGTTTTCAGCTGAGGAAAGGAACTCCTAAGCCCTGTAACTGTTCTGTCTTTTAAAAACTGGAGAAGATTAGAAGGGAAGGATAAATCCTCTATGAAACTTGCCATTTTTAAACTAGACACTGGCAAAGGCTTACRTGATAAAACCAAGCAAAATAGATTCCCTGATATTGAAACTAAAGGAATTTATTTAGTAGGAATTAGACATGTGGTTACAATGTGTTAAATGCACATCTAATAAAACAGCCTCGAATATGTCTCCAATTCATAAATGTCTAAGCAGGAGAAAGACTCTGAAGCCAAAATTCAAGTTCCTTAATTTAAATATGAAACAAGGCTGCACTAAGATTGTGGGARAGGAGGAATAAAAACTTTCTTGTCTTAAATACAACCTCTGTGGTATATTTGAGGGCTTTCAAACTTTCTCAGCATTGACAAGATTTTACATAAGTATATTCTCTAAGCTATGTTGGAATACCYTTAGATATACAAATCCATGTTACACAAAACAGCATTAGATCTTGTAAATGGGCTCGTAATAACAAGGAAGGAGGGTAAGGATGCTGCTACATGTGAAAGGAAGTATATTAGTATGCACAGAAAATATATTGTCTTAGAGTTTAGTCGTAAAGGGCATCAAGCATGGAGATGCATCTCTTAAAGTGTTGATGCCTTAAACTGTGAGCCAGTAGAATACTTTTATATCAACTGTACAGCCTAATGCTTTGCTTTTAAAAAGAAATATGAAAACTTCGTTCCTTTTTCACCTTTTCCTCTTCTTTATAGTTTTTAAAAGTAGGTTACCCACCTACTGATTTAGTTTGGCGTCCTTTTTTAATTTTTTTCCTTTTTTATTAGTTTTTCTCTTTTTTTCTCTTTTTTTTTTTTTTTTTTCTTTTTTTTTCAATTTTTTTTTTTTTACTACTTACTATTATTGTCTTCCATTATGTACAATAATCTACATTTAGACTGAAGACTCAAGCTCTTCCTAAACGTACTTGGACTATCTTGTAAAGACTTTCCGCAGAACTGATGAAGTGGAAGACAACCTGACAGATAAAAGGAAGGATCATTTCAGTTCTRCTCTCTTCCCCAAGTTTTAAAACTTTGTCTTTCAGAAATTTTTTGCCTACTTGCTGTCCTTTCACCTCCCCCAGGCAGCCCCTTCTGAACTTGAGTGAACTTTCTATGTGTTTCCCAAACACAATCCCTCTATATAGAGCTACACTAAATTCATTCATTCTCCAGCCAGTAGTTTAAAAACAAATAATTGATAAAACACTAAAAACAGCCTACATGCCCCTTCTGAATTATTCTTACCAATGTGTACATTTAAATAACATCACAAGTTGTCTTTTACTAAAAATTTACCAAAATATTTTAAACACATAAAAATGTAAAAAACAAACAAACAGAAAAACAAACAAAAACCAAAAACCCAGCATAAACATTGCTTGTATAGGCATTGGTTAGAAGAGATTGTTACACTAAGGAGTATATTCAAAAAGTTTTTCTTTCAATATTGTCAGTTTTAGTGCCATGGGTTGAAAGGTTAAGGACAATGAAACTTAATATGACCCTGTCTTATAGCACGTAATAGATGAGCGGGAAGTCTGAAATGTAATTAAAATAAAGGTTCTTTTTGGTTATTGGAAGATGACWGTATAAGCCTGTAACTAAAGTGGCAATTTAAGTATGTAAAGGGAACTTAGGAACCTGAAGAATCTGTAAGGAAAACTGTATGGGAAGGTACCAAGGCAGCTACCAACAGATGGGCCCAGGGGCATTATGGAAAGCTGTCAAAGCTGTCACAAATTGGAATTTTGAATATAGCCCTTAGTTTGATCATATTCATGTAAAATTTAAAAGCTGCCCAGCATACCACGGATAAAGTTTATTTTGCAAGCCATCCACTGCCTAAGRGGGCAGTAATATTCAACGTGAAACTGCTGAAACTCCGGCGTCTGACGGATTTCATGAAGGAAAGAGATTTGAAGGTCCGACTCTAGGAGAACAAGGAAAAGAGGGAACACAAACAACAACAGTCCAAGGCCTACAAGAAAAAGTCTGGAGAAACTCTTCACAAAAGCATTCACCTCTATGTTGCCCATTAGAAAGTCATAGCTCCACCTCAGGGCCTTYCGAGCTTCTTTCAGTTCTTCCTCCTCTGCAATTAAAAATGCATTTTCATCTGCTTCAAGTTCCTCAAATGAATCAGTATCATCTTTCTCATTCTCTGCTCTTGGACAGGTATCAAAAAGCATGTCAATCTCATCATCAACAGGTGTGGGCAGCAAGCTGGCACTAGGATTGTATACCAGCTCTGAGATGGTTAATGGTTCCTCTTTCATCTTCTCTTCCTGTTCAATGGCAAGGTCAACACTCTCCTCAGCATCCTTTACTGGAGAGCTTGAAGTCACAGGTACTGAAATCTCATCTTCCTTTGGCAGTTGGATACCTGAAAAAATGAGATTAAAACAATGATCCTAAATTTTTGACACCCTGGTGGGAAAATTCAGCCTTCCAATAGTATCTAACACATGTTTGTAAAGAAGATTCTGCAATAATTTTGTATGTTGAAACCAGACTGTACACAATTTTAAAATCCTGGAAAAGCTTTCTGAAGAGGGCAATATCTTTACAACACTGCAGTACACCAGATCTGCTTAAGAGGGTTTGATGCAGCTACTACTAATAGTAGTCTAGTGCAAAGCAAAAAACAGAGCATCTTATTTTCTACCGGCAATCTGATTTCTGGTATAAATTAATACCTATTATATGCGTGAATTGTTGCTCTTTGGTGTATAATCTAATAATAATAACAACAAAAACTAYCCAGCTTTATTCCTTTGAGATAAATGAGTGTGGTAAGATAATAGTTAAGGCTGAGAATAAAGCATGACATTAAAAAGAGACAGTAGATTATGATGAAAAATTCATGCTAAAAAGGATAGAAGGAGAGGAAAGTTAACACATTATGTGACCATTAGACATCATTGAAACAGCATTTTAACAGAAAACAGCATTTAAACCTGTTAAGAAAGCTCCTTCTCATGTCTTTTTTTTTTTCTGCTCATCTAGTCCTTTGTTTCTTTTCTCTCCTACATTTCTCTTTTCCCCTTACAGAATAGACTTTCTTATGACACCRTTCTCTGCCCAAGTTCTCTCTTCTCAAAACTTACTCTCCTTTTCCCAGTCTATCAGCAATAAATTTGCAAAGAAGTCTTGCTGTTTACATTACTCARTACTGCAGTGGCTGCTATTAGTTGACAGCAGCAAGAGTGGAAGGGAGGAGAGCTAGGCACAGACCATCCTTACAAAGTGATGTTAAGGCACCTCCTCATGGAAATTTCCCCTTTTATTCAAAATGCCCCAGACAGATCTCTTCCCCAGYAATTCGTTAACTTTTCCTTGCTCCCTAGGAGCACGGCCATGCCTCCAGATGAGGTTTCACATTTTGGCCAAATGATCAAAAAGACCATTTCTGCTTCCTTTCATTTCATCACTGATGAAGACAGCTTGGGTTAGCATCTGATGTTTACTTCCTGAGCTGGACTGCCATATGTTCTCATGGAGACACATTATCAGGGATGGAGAGAGAGAGCAGGAGAGCTCCTTTCAGCAGCAGATGTGAATAGCTGAAATGAAACATTGTCCTCAATAAGGAAAATTAGTAGTCTAATAATTTAATTAGTTTCATTTTCATAAATTTAATTTGACTGCCTAGCTAATAATTCCTTGCCTCAAATACTTTGTCCTCTCTCATCACAGTCAATTTGGAAATTCATCACATTTCAGCATGAAACATGTTATGTGCTGGAACTTAATTGTCTACACCAGTCTTTACATAAATAAATACACTTTCCACAGTCATCATGAGGAGGACACAAACCAACTGAAACGAGACACAACAGTGTATGAACACTAAGAAGTGAGAACAGATTTGAGCGATCTTTCTCCTAAGCATACTGTAACAGAAGGTCATGCTGGATTCACAAACCATACTGAGTCACTTGAGAGTGCACCCATGAGACCTTAGAACACAAAAGCCAAAAATTTTTAACTGTGGTGCCCAACATTAAGTGTCTACACATATCTTTAGAAACACAAGTATTACAATTTGATTTTCAAATGCACTTTCCAATTATTCTTAATATGAGTAAAATTTAAGTTAAGCCACTTAATTAAATATTCCAAWGTGGTTTAAAGCACCTAATTTTACTCTCCCTAATTTGAGAACTCTGGTCACAGGCCTGTGTATACTGACTTAGGTGCAAAGTCTGTAATATAYCTTCATCGTGTTTCTCATCATAGAAAGGGACAGCTGCAGCTACCACAAAGAAAGGTCACCCCAATTTATGATTCTTGAGCCTCCTCTTCCTCCACAGAGTAAATTCCAGCATGATAAAATGCATAGTGAACATGAACAACAAATACCATATTATCTTTCATTAAAACTGTATTTTTCTCAACTGGCAAACTTCTGACTTTGAGATTAACCTGTTAAGTCTCTGTCAACTGAACWGTTTGTATTAAAATTAGAATGTGTTGCAGCTCTGATTTACATTCCACTACTTAATTTCAACTGCTAACAGCAATTTTCAACTCCTTTATTTGTTGTTTAAACTTATTAAGTCAAAGCAACTGCACTTTACATCAGTCAAATACTAGTGTAAATAAATACTTGAAAATTTAGAATGGGCATTAAATGCTGCTGCTTCAACTACATTTGATATTTTAAAAAATTAAATATATAAAGCCGTTCCTCTTGTTCTTTCACATTCCCTGTAAYACCACAGCATTTCTGAACTCAGGGACTGAGGAAAGAACAGGCTATTAACCACGGTCAATGTGACTGATTCCAGCAAAGTGCCAGTCATGTTTCAATAAATAGATTAGCATGTTGGACCATTCGTGCTTGGATGGTTTCAAAGGACATAACTGTAAAATCACTATGGCACACATCATGCTTATGCAGGTCYGAAAATATTAAAGTACCAAAAATCAAAATCGTTCCACAGTATGGAACTGTAACTCCAGTAACACAAATTTAAGAGAGAAGAATGCTTTTCAGATTTTATACTTTTCAGATAGCCCTCAAGAAGCCAGTTATCTGAAGTTACAAAATCAAGTTAAAAGAAAACAAAAAGCCTCAAAATATTTCAAAGGAAATAGAGAAACTAAAAGTTAAAGCAAGCCCAACTCAAATACCCTTTCATTATTCTGCAACTCAACTGCAAATCCTTTGCTCCTTTCATATGTAACAATTGTTTTGCTACTACCCTTATAAGGCTAATATTTCGCATGATTTGTTCGAAAGATTTTGAAAAGTCTACTATTTCTTTAATAATAGTTTAAATTTATATTGTGTTTACAAGTTGAGCATTAAATTACATTTGAAAAGAACCTCTTCCTTCTGTTCCTCACCTTATATTCGTACTAACAATTTGCTTTCCATAGATCAGAAACTTCCAATATAGATTACTGGAATATCAGGTAAATACACTCAGCTTTATTTGTCATATTTCCACAGCTACACTTCTGGCAAATGAACAAATTTTACAAAGCCAGGGATCTCGTTATCCTAGCAAAACTCAGTATTCCCCTTCCACCAAATACTGTGATTGTCCCAAACATGAACAGCTGAATAAAACGTGATATTACTGGGGTCATCTGCTGTGAACATGAACATGAAAGAGGTCTGACATAAAAGTTGTCAGCCGCTAGTATTTCTAGAGGGGCCAAAACCAGCAGCTGAGGATTAGCAAGATGAAGGACAGCTCTAGCTCCACCATTCTTAAGAAGCTGCAGTTGCTGGAAACACACTCCAGAAAAATATATCCTCTGCTTATTAAAAATTTCAGTTCACACATTGTCTATTAGCCGGATATCCTACATACAGCTTTTCTTACTTGAAATGCAAACATAATTACACACCTGTAAGAGCTTTGCATAGTGGAGAAAGGAACAAGTGTGAATATATCCCTATTTTAAACAGAGAAATTGAAAATTAGATATGGAYCAGAGAGAACAGTGCTAGGAATGTTTCATACATGCTTGTAAACAGATGAGGCCAGCCAGGCTTCAATTAGAACAATTCCTTCCTGTCCTTTCTACTTCTTCCTCCAGAAATATTGGGTATCCTTTGCTTATTTTCCATGTTGACAAAATTAATTTTACTATGAATAGCATGACCTTTCAGAAGGAAGGAGAAAGTGACCTTCTCACACAAGCAAAGTGCCTGAATGCGACAAATGGAAATGTGGAAAAATGAGGCAGGCTCTAGAATTGCACYGTATTTAAGTATTTTCCTACACAGAAGCTATATGAAGCAGGATTTGCATCACAGACAGACCTCCCGCCCTCAGAAACAKGTCACAGATTTGTACCATACCTATGTCCCGTGCCCATAAAAGACACTTGTTATAGTTTTGCAAGGAGAGTTAATCAATGACAGTTTATAGTAACTCCTCCTCAGGCAGTGACCTGGTTTTCCTGCTGGCCATTACCGTTTGCTTTAGTCTGATGGGAACTTCTAGAAGGGAGCARTGCCCTGTCCCAGCTGCCAGCTCACATGAGTAGCACATTTGGTGGCATTACAGTTTGCCYGCCAGCTGTGCTGTGCGTCATGATGTTCAATGTCATGACTACTGAAGCCACCTGAGGCCRCTGCTCTGCTTTGCTCGCCCCACAAAGGGCACCCAAAGCACAGAGACAGAAGCAGGGCAGAGCCAGGAAGCACAGTGGTCCTTCTGGGATGCCTCTCTTCAACCTCCCTTTGGCCCRGGAGGAGTTCAACCCAGCTTTGTTGATCCCCTTCCAGAAACACGGTGAAGGGACTGAAGGGAGCATCAGGGAAAGTCATGGGAGCAGGAAGGAGAATGCAAGGTGCACCTGTCAGCAGTCCAGAGAGGAAAGGACCTGGTGATGGACTGCAGAGACTCGGTGTCCAGCAGCAGGACAAGGAGAGTGAGACTGAAACGARCTGAGCACTGGTGTGAAAGCTTAGCACCCGAGCAAAAGGGCAAGTGGGACAATTCAACATCCCCACTCAGCTTGGGTGACCCCTCCTGGCACAAGCCAGCACTGTTCTGAAATGGTCACCATTGCAATGGGGTTCTCTCRAGGAGTTATTTCCCCTGTTAGGAGTTTTGCACAAGCTAAATCCAGTCCTTTGGTGCTGGTACACCAGCTTTATATGCTGATTTTTTTTTAATSTATATTTCAAAAGAAATAATATACTACAAATAATACTACAAAATCAAAGTGTTCAAGAGCAACTGCAATCCCAATGTAAAATCTGCTATGATTGGCGTCATAACATTAAACCAACAAGATGTCTTGCATCTATTTGGAGCCCATATTTAACCTCTGAGATTAAGAATAAAAAAAATACATGTCAATAATAATGCTTTTTCAATTTTGTTACTATATTTCAATCCAGGGAATTAGGTGCAA